CTTCTACTCCGCACTAGAGCATCCTTCAAGGACCCTGCATACCTAATTTGATGGCCTTACGAGAAACTTGATTTTTGGGTCTGAAAATGAAAGAAGGTTAACCCCTTTGAACTTTTTTCAACTCATTCAAGGTGTCAGAATGCGCTGAAAATTTGCATACAGACTAATTACGATGTGCTGAACAAGAATCTGGAATGCGTTGCTTTCTATACCTTCTAGTTTCTTAGATACTCGCATTCTAACACGAAATGATTGGGTTACTAGATCAGGACATTTTCATATCGCAGGTACCACAACAAACGAAAAGAGGGTCAAAAATTGTTTATTTTTTATAATTGCAACTAGAGAGCTGTGCTTCTACTCCGCACTATAGCATCCTTCAAGGACCCTGCATACTTAAATTGATGGCCCTACGAGAAAATTGATTTTTGGGTCTGAAAATGAAAGAAGGTTAACCCCTTTGAACTTTTTTCAACTCATTCAAGGTGTCAGAATGAGCTGAAAACTTGCATACAGACTAATAACGATGTGCTGAACAAGAATCTGGAATGCGTTTCTTTTTATACCTTCTAGTTTCTTAGATACTCGCATTCTAACACGAAATGATTGGGTTACTAGATCAGGACATTTTCATATCGCAGGTACCACAACAAGCGAAAAGAGGGTCGAAAATTGTTTATTTTTTATAATTGCAACTAGAGAGCTGTGCTTCTACTCCGCACTAGAGCATCCTTTAAGGACCCTGCATACCTAATTTGATGGCCCTACGAGAAACTTGATTTTTGGGTCTGAAAATGAAAGAAGGTTAACCCCTTTGAACTTTTTTCAACTCATTCAAGGTGTCAGAATGCGCTGAAAATTTGCATACAGACTAATTACGATGTGCTGAACAAGAATCTGGAATGCGTTGCTTTCTATACCTTCTAGTTTCTTAGATACTCGCATTCTAACACGAAATGATTGGGTTACTAGATCAGGACATTTTCATATCGCAGGTACCACAACAAGCGAAAAGAGGGTCAAAAATTGTTTATTTTTTATAATTGCAACTAGAGAGCTGTGCTTCTACTCCGCACTATAGCATCCATTAAGGACCCTGCATACCTAATTTGATGGCCTTACGAGAAACTTGATTTTTGGATCTGAAAATGAAAGAAGGTTAACCCCTTTGAACTTTTTTCAACTCATTCAAGGTGTCAGAATGCGCTGAAAATTTGCATACAGACTAATTACGATGTGCTGAACAAGAATCTGGAATGCGTTGCTTTCTATACCTTCTAGTTTCTTAGATACTCGCATTCTAACACGAAATGATTGGGTTACTAGATCAGGACATTTTCATATCGCAGGTACCACAACAAACGAAAAGAGGGTCAAAAATTGTTTATTTTTTATAATTGCAACTAGAGAGCTGTGCTTCTACTCCGCACTATAGCATCCTTCAAGGACCCTGCATACTTAAATTGATGGCCCTACGAGAAAATTGATTTTTGGGTCTGAAAATGAAAGAAGGTTAACCCCTTTGAACTTTTTTCAACTCATTCAAGGTGTCAGAATGCGCTGAAAATTTGCATACAGACTAATTACGATGTGCTGAACAAGAATCTGGAATGCGTTGCTTTCTATACCTTCTAGTTTCTTAGATACTCGCATTCTAACACGAAATGATTGGGTTACTAGATCAGGACATTTTCATATCGCAGGTACCACAACAAACGAAAAGAGGGTCAAAAATTGTTTATTTTTTATAATTGCAACTAGAGAGCTGTGCTTCTACTCCGCACTATAGCATCCTTCAAGGACCCTGCATACTTAAATTGATGGCCCTACGAGAAAATTGATTTTTGGGTCTGAAAATGAAAGAAGGTTAACCCCTTTGAACTTTTTTCAACTCATTCAAGGTGTCAGAATGCGCTGAAAACTTGCATACAAATTGTTTACGATGTGCTGAACAAGAATCTGGAATGCGTTTCTTTCTATACCTTCTAGTTTCTTAGATACTCGCATTCTAACATTATGATGATGGAGTTACTAGATCGGGACATTTTCATATCGCAGGTACCACAACAAGCGAAAAGAGGGTCAAAAATTGTTTATTTTTTATAATTGCAACTAGAGAGCTGTGCTTCTACTCCGCACTATAGCATCCATTAAGGACCCTGCATACCTAATTTGATGGCCTTACGAGAAACTTGATTTTTGGGTACTTTTTTCAACTCATTCAAGGTGTCAGAATGCGCTGAAAATTTGCATACAGACTAATTACGATGTGCTGAACAAGAATCTGGAATGCGTTTCTTTCTATACCTTCTAGTTTCTTAGATACTCGCATTCTAACATTATGATGATGGAGTTACTAGATCGGGACATTTTCATATCGCAGGTACCACAACAAGCGAAAAGAGGGTCAAAAATTGTTTATTTTTTATAATTGCAACTAGAGAGCTGTGCTTCTACTCCGCACTATAGCATCCATTAAGGACCCTGCATACCTAATTTGATGGCCTTACGAGAAACTTGATTTTTGGGTCTGGAAATGAAAGAAGGTTAACCCCTTTGAACTTTTTTCAACTCATTCAAGGTGTCAGAATGCGCTGAAAATTTGCATACAGACTAATTACGATGTGCTGAACAAGAATCTGGAATGCGTTTCTTTCTATACCTTCTAGTTTCTTAGATACTCGCATTCTAACATTATGATGATGGAGTTACTAGATCGGGACATTTTCATATCGCAGGTACCACAACAAGCGAAAAGAGGGTCAAAAATTGTTTATTTTTTATAACTGCAGCTAGAGAGCTGCGCTTTTACTCCGTACTAGGACATCCCTTAAGGACCCTGCATACCTAATTCAATGGCCCTACGAGAAACTTGATTTTTGGCAATTTCGGGTCTGAAAATGAAAGAAGGTTAACCCCTTTGAACTTTTTTCAACTAATTCAAGGTGTCAGAATGGGCTGAAAACTTGCACACAAATTGTTTACGATGTGCTGAACAAGAATCTGGAATGCGTTGCTTTCTATACCTTCTAGTTTCTTAGATACTCGCATTCTAACACGAAATGATTGGGTTACTAGATCAGGACATTTTCATATCGCAGGTACCACAACAAACGAAAAGAGGGTCAAAAATTGTTTATTTTTTATAATTGCAACTAGAGAGCTGTGCTTCTACTCCGCACTATAGCATCCTTCAAGGACCCTGCATACTTAAATTGATGGCCCTACGAGAAAATTGATTTTTGGGTCTGAAAATGAAAGAAGGTTAACCCCTTTGAACTTTTTTCAACTCATTCAAGGTGTCAGAATGCGCTGAAAACTTGCATACAAATTGTTTACGATGTGCTGAACAAGAATCTGGAATGCGTTTCTTTCTATACCTTCTAGTTTCTTAGATACTCGCATTCTAACATTATGATGATGGAGTTACTAGATCGGGACATTTTCATATCGCAGGTACCACAACAAGCGAAAAGAGGGTCAAAAATTGTTTATTTTTTATAATTGCAACTAGAGAGCTGTGCTTCTACTCCGCACTATAGCATCCATTAAGGACCCTGCATACCTAATTTGATGGCCTTACGAGAAACTTGATTTTTGGGTCTGGAAATGAAAGAAGGTTAACCCCTTTGAACTTTTTTCAACTCATTCAAGGTGTCAGAATGCGCTGAAAATTTGCATACAGACTAATTACGATGTGCTGAACAAGAATCTGGAATGCGTTTCTTTCTATACCTTCTAGTTTCTTAGATACTCGCATTCTAACATTATGATGATGGAGTTACTAGATCGGGACATTTTCATATCGCAGGTACCACAACAAGCGAAAAGAGGGTCAAAAATTGTTTATTTTTTATAATTGCAGCTAGAGAGCTGTGCTTCTACTCCGCACTAGAGAATCCTTTAAGAACCCTGCGTACCAAATTTGATGGCCCTACGAGAAAATTGATTTTTGGGTCTGAAAATGAAAGAAGGTTTACCCCTTTGAACTTTTTTCAACTGATTCGAGGTGTCAGAATGCGCTGAAAACTTGCATACAAATTGTTTACGATGTGCTGAACAAGAATCTGGAATGCGTTTCTTTTTATACCTTCTAGTTTCTTAGATACTCGCATTCTAACACAAAATGATGGGGTTACTAGATCAGGACATTTTCATATCGCAGGTACCACAACAAGCGAAAAGAGGGTCAAAAATTGTTTATTTTTTATAATTGCAACTAGAGAGCTGTGCTTCTACTCCGCACTAGGACATCCCTTGAGGACCCTGCATACCTAATTTGATGGCCCTACGAGAAACTTGATTTTTGGGTCTGAAAATGAAAGAAGGTTAACCCCTTTGAACTTTTTTCAACTCATTCATGGTGTCAGATTGGGGTGAAAACTTGCATACAGACTAATTACGATGTGCTGAACAAGAATCTGGAATGCGTTTCCTTCTATATCTCCTAGTTTTCGAGATTCCCATTGATTATATACACTAGTGTGAATACTCAAAGTAGATTCACAAGAACTATGTATCTTATTATATCTCTTTGTTTCTGAGATTCAGAATTCGAATGGTCTGAGAAATTACTGAATTGATGACAGATGATCTCTTTTGGAATTATAGCTGTGCTATCTAGATATTATATTCTGTCAACTTCGGCTCAGAGATTTCCCCAATTAATTCGATTCATTGCAGCGCCATCTAGTGTAATATGGTCAAAAGTTAATTGAAAGGTATTCATTCTGTTAAACAGGTACCTGTAATGAGCTCACAATGTCAAGAAGAAACCTATAATGATAATGGAACAGATTTCAGCTATGGTCGAAGAAAACTGTAACGGTTGAAGAAGAACCCTGTTTTCAAGAGTCTACTACTTGTACAGTTCATGAATTATCCAATAGATGGCTCCCAAATTAAAAAAAAATAGAAATCTGCAAGTTTAACCATCAGGAATTTTTGTATTTCTTTTAGATCGACTCAACACAACAGAAACTCTCTAAAAGAAACAACAACCAATAAAAAATATATTTATTCAAATTGAATAACCCATAATATTATATTTTTGAATATTGCACAATAATTGTAAATCACATAACATATTTTGCATGTTGGAGGGCCATTTTGGCACATTTATGGAGTTCTTTATCCAAAGGATCTGAAAAAAAATATACATATATTCGACAGTCTGTGGCGAAAGCAATGAAGACTAGATTACAGGGAAAAATATAGGGAACAAGTTATTAGTTTTCTTTTAATCAACTAGGCCGAAAAAAGAATTCTCACACTACTGTTTTCATCATTGAACTTTTTGATTTTTATCTTGAATTTTTTTATTAGTTGCTCTGTTTTACAGAATAAAATATAAAGACAATTGAATAAGAGCATCAAAACTATCCACTGCTCAAATTTTCGCTACAAAGATAGTTGAATAAAATTATCCTAAATAAAATAGGTAACATTATACAGGATGTTAAAAAAAATGTAGATATTTGTATCTTGTGAAATACACCTAATATAGCAGATGCTCAAAACTCACATATTTTATGTTGTCCGACAATCGGATAGAATATAGGCAATATTATCGGATTCGAGCAAATCATCACAAAGGGACTGTTGCTCTCTCCATGTGGGTACTTTTTTCGATAAGCTTCTTGTTCCAGACAATCGTCCACGTAAATGCAACCCAAAAGGCAGCTGGTCGGATAGTCCTTGGGGAATTTCAATGAGCTATCTACAAAAATTATAAAAATTCAAATATTTTACCGCAGTACAGAGTAAAACAACTATTTGCAAGACAAAGGATTATTGATTAAACTATTCCTCTTTTTTTTTCAACATAACATGATTTTAACCCAGATGTGCCTACCGTCCTTCTATAAGGACACTGTGTAAAAAGTTTTCTAGCGCGTAATTTGGGTATCTTCACGAATTTTTTTTTATGGATAGCACCACTTATGTCAAATAAAAGAACATCATTTTAACCCAGATATGCCTACCGTCCTTCTATGAGGACACTGCGTAAAAAGTTTTCTAGCGTGTAATTTGGGTATCTTCACGAATTTTTTTATGGATAGCACCACTTATGTCAAATAAAAGAACATCATTTTAACCTAGATATGCCTACCGTCCTTCTATAAGGACACTGTGTAAAAAGTTTTTTAGCGCGTCATTTAGGTATCTTCACGAATTATTTTATAGATAGCACCACTTATGTCAAATAAAAGAACATCATTTTAATCTAGATATGCCTACCGTCCTTCTATAAGGACACTGTGTAAAAAGTTTTTTAGCGCGTCATTTAGGTATCTTCACGAATTATTTAATAGATAGCACCACTTATGTCAAATAAAAGAACATCATTTTAACCCAGATATGCCTACCGTCCTTCTATAAGGACACTGTGTAAAAAGTTTTCTAGCGCGTCATTTGGGTACCTTCACGAATTTTCTTATTGATAGCACCACTTATGTCAAATAAAAGAACATTTCTTATAGATTATTATCAACACAGCTGATCAGCAAAAGTTAAATACAGATGGAAATCAAGTATTTTATTCTATAGTTGGATAAGCAGATTGATCTCAAATAATTGAGACACCCTGTAATTGGATCAAAATCATCAAAGATTCTGGGAATGATGATGTGAAAAATATACGGGATGGAAATGATTTGTTACAATGGATATTTTTTCAAATGTTGAGATAAAAAATATTTCTGACCATTTACCTTGATAATAATCCCGGTAAAAGGACTCTAGTGCATCAATTTCATCTTCTTCTGGTGGTTTTGCTGCAGCAGCTATCCAGAGTTTTCCTCTGTGAGTCGTAGGCCAAGTTCTCCCCTCATGTCTGGAAAAACAATTGAGTAAATTTGAATTCTTTTCCGTTTTTTGTTCCCGATTCAGGATATTTTCACACCTTGTATGATGAACATCAAATCATCGTACAACTGGCAATCAGGAATTCGATTAACCATTTTTTGCAATGAGTATTTTTTCATATACTTTTGAAAGAATCCAAATATCTTTTTCAAACTTATACAGGGTGACTCACGGACGATGGAACGATAAACGTTTATGGAGAACGCAAGGAAGGATTTTTCTGAAAATTTCGCATTTTACATTCATCGTCTGTTCTATCCATCTAAACTATTTCCAAAATTGCGACGTTGCCGCTTCTATGAAAAACTAGCAGTATCTGTATTTTTCTGAATGGATCACCCTGTATATTATCGCAACTACAGATTCTCCCTAAAGAGCTGATTTCATCAATGCATCACACTTGGGGTCTAGCGGGAATAATTACAGAGATATAGGGTGTTCAAAATCAATATTTTTCAACTATAGGATTTTTCTTGTGTTGAAACTATCCATTATCGGTCCAAACGATTTTCATGTCGTGATCTTAAATGATGATTTACTATTAAACGACATTTGATTGGAACAGATACAGGGTGATCAGAATTCTGAATCTTGAACCACCCTGTATTTGTTCGAATTAAATGTCAGTAGATAGTGAATCAAAAGTTGAAGTAGGATCATGGAAGCAGTTTTCACCGATAATGAATAGTTTCCACACAAAAAATTCCTGAAGTTGAGAAAACTAGATTTTGAACACCCTATATCTCTGTTATAATTCCCGCTAGACCTCAAGTGTGACACATCGATGACATTAGCTTTTCACGGGGGATCCATTTCAAAAATTTAGTAACAAGGAATTTTTGATAGAAGCGTCAACGTCGCAATTCTGAAAATATTTTTGAACCTACCATCGACCGTGAGTCACCATGTATGTATCAATTAGCATTCATGAAACGTTGAAAACAAAACATGCAATCTGTTCAAATATCTTCAAAATAAGTGCCAGTTTTTAGAAAACTATGAAAAATCATATTATCTCAAAAACCAATGGATCAATTTACAAAATACAACTCTATGATTGAAGTTCATTTTCCTTCTGGAACTCATGGGAATCCCAAGATTTCAATAAAATGCCATTTTCAAAAATCAAGTAAACACCTCAAAAAAATAAAATATACAAATTGTTCAGATTTCTTACTTTTTCACTCCAGCTACTAGTAAACTAGCATAAGGCTGATGCAAGCTGAGGCATAAACCATGATCCATATTGGCCATGAGCTCCTCATCAAACACTCTTGTGCCATAATCAATGACAGGCATGGAGCCGTCTTCTTGTCTCAAATCTTCTTCTTTGCCTGCTGGCTTCTTGTGCCGCATTTGGATCAGCAAATGCACCAAGTCTTCATTGATATTCTACAAAATTGATATACCAACAAGTAAGTCCAACTGGAACTCATGGAATTCATTGAGTTTCTTAGAATTCTTTGGGAATCCCTTGGAACTCATGGAATTCATTGAGTTTCTTAGAATTCCTTGGAAATCCCTTGGAACTCATGGAATTCATTGAGTTTCTTGGAATTCTTTGGGAACCCCTTGGAACTCATGGAATTCATTGAGTTTCTTGGAATTCTTTGGGAATCCCTTGGAACTCATGGAATTCATTGAGTTTCTTGGAATGCTTTGGGAATCCCTTGGAACTCATGGAATTCATTGAGTTTCTTGGAATTCTTTGGGAATCCCTTGGAACTCATGGAATTCATTGAGTTTCTTAGAATTCCATGGAATTCCTTAGACTTCATGAATTCCTCAAATGAAGTTTTCCACTCCATTCAATTTCTTGATTTTTAAAATTCCTTGAATTCCTTGGAATTCAAAAAAGAAATTGGAATGGCTTGAATTCTTGGAATTCCTTGAACTCCTTGAACTAATTGAATTCCTTAAGTACCTTGAATTCTATGGAATTCCTTGGATCCTTTCCAATTCCTTAAACTCCATGAGGTTCTTGAAATTTCGTGAATCATCTTGAAATTATTAGAGTTCTTTAAATTCCTTGATCTACTTGGAATTCCAGGAGTTCCTTAGAATTCCTTGAATTACATTAAATAATTTGTGAATATGGTATGAAAAATGACTGCAAATAGTGTTAACATCCCCAAGTTCCTTAGAATTACTCAACTTCCTCAAATTCCTTGAATTCTTTAATCACCTCAAACCTCTTAAATCTCAAGAAACCTCCCAGTTCCTTAGAATTCCTTGCAACTTCTTGGAATTCCCCAACTTGGAACACCTTGAATTCCTTGGAATTCCTAGAATTTTTTTGAATTCCTCAGTTTCTTGGAATTTCTTGATGTTCTTGATGAATTCAGTATGATAAAATGAGTGCAAATAGTTTATACATTGTTATAATACCTCAGTATTTTTTGGAGTTCTATGGAACATCCTGATTCTCTAAATCAGAGATCAGACAAATGGAGTTATGTTTGAACAAGAACAACAAAGCATTATTTTGGAGACTTTTTTTCATGTCTGTATAAAATTTATTAGCAGAATGCCTTGGGTACCTTGGGAAAGATGAAAATTCCATGAAATATTTAGAAATTTCCTGGCATTACTTGGGATTTGCTGAAATTCCATGAAATCAGCTGAAATTTCTTGGAATATGTAATTCTGCAGAATTCCTTAGAAATGTTTGATAGACATTTGTGAATAATATTCAAGTCCTTGTGAATTTTTGAGATATACAATTTTTGGAATTTCATAGAATCATATGGAATTTCTTGGAATCCCCTGGAACTGCTTTGGATTTTAGAAATATCATGAATATATTGCAGAATTGATTGACATTTCAGGTACCTAATACCTGAATACCTTAGAATTCATTGCAGAACCATGAAATTCAAAGAAATTCCATAGATTCCTTTGGAAGTCCTTGAAATTAAATGGAATTTATTGAATTAAACAGGGATTTCTTGTTGCCTTCCTTCTAAGTGAAAAAAACATGCCTTTTGTAATCAACTCATGGCTCACCTGATTTCTTTGATAAGACTGCTCAGACCTTTTCTGAATATTTTTGTAGGCTTCCTCTACTTTCTTCAGATGCTCCACTGAATCCTGCAGTAGCCTTTCCCTTATTCTGGCATCTTCCTGTGTACCTTCAATCACCTTGCGACTGGCAAAATCAAGAGCAATGATCATTTTTTTCTTGCCATCTTCATCTACTGCCTTCTTGGAGTTTGTTTTGAAATAGTCATTATCATCATCAAAAACTTTGTTCTCTCTAGGTCTATGGTATGAAATGAAGGAAAAGATTATACTGATTTGTGTAAATGTATTGTCACTCACTTCATGATAGTCTTTGATTTTCTATTGTTGGCATCAAAAAGTACATCACCTCTCACAGATATCTGAAATTTTGTAATCTTGAAATGTGAAGGAGAATTAAATGTGGATACTTACAGGATTTCCACAGAATAAACAAGGCCCAGGACCTTCTTCCATGCAGTGGATCCTTCCACATACCAAACAATTATTCATGAATTCATGCTCTTGTCCCAAACAGTCACAAGCAGATCTTCCTGTGAAGATAATATAATTGTAAACAAAATTCAAATGGATTGAAATTCTCACAACTTTCCTTCTTTTTCTTTTTTCTTTATTTCATAAGTGTTGATATCTTTGAACTTGGTCTTTCCTTTTTTACCAGAGCTGATAGAGTTTTGCCTGGAACTATTTTGATTTCCTGTATTCTTAGGGATAGCTCCTGTTGAGGAAGATGGTTTCTTACTACCCTGTTGCTTCCTGAATATGATATTTCTGATTCCTTCAAATGCAGTTATGTGTGAGCTTTTACTTCTATCTAGAATGTTTTCCATGAATTCTGCATAATCTTCTTCTAGTTCAATACTTCTTATATAACTGGAAGGAGTGATGATAATACTTCAAGACACCAAGTACTATCATTTAGCATTCACAACATACCTTACAATATCATTGGACACATCATCTCCCAAGATTATCTTCAAATAGTTCACAAGAGCAGTATCAGCCATGATTTTGGAAACGACCAAGGTATATCGATTTAGAGAAATATATAAAATGAACGAAGAATTCAACGAATATACACAGACAGTAACAAGTACCCCCACAGAAATCTGTGCCACAGATAAGAAGATTTCCTGAATGTTGAAAACAGCTGAGCTGAGATCGGTGAAGAATAAGGAATGGTTAGAATGACTTTCTTCTTATTTTTCTTATTCTTCTTCTTCGTTTCTTGGCCTCTTGTCCAGATTGGACATCCACCCAATTCTTCTTCTAATGTGGATACAGCTATAGTAAACAATATATAATATAATAAAAACTCCAGTTTTCTCGACAAGAAATCAACTGTGCCCCATAACTAGCATAACCTTCTAGCTCAATGTCAAGAATATTGAATGTTTTGGGTAGGCCACCTAGAGATTAAATATTAAGAAGAAAACAGAAGATTGAGGTTATGTGCAGAGGGCAGACCAGCGTTGCCAGACCTAATACTTCCTTCTAGATCTAGTACGTTTTCACTGTCTAGCACACTAGTACGCCGATCACAAAACTCGTACGTTTTCTTCGTTTTGAATTGAAATATCGAAATATCGACATTACCGAAATGAGCCAAAAAAGTTCAATGTGCAATATATGTGAAATGTCATTATTGCCTTCTATCCAAAGTATTGAGTTTTGCGCTTATGATGCATGCCTGTATATGCAGTTCATATCACGTGTTAATATTATCTATTGTCATTTGTCAATTATTTTCAGGTTGTTCAGTTATGATTATGAATAGAAATTAATGACAGAATGACAATTGAAGTGTGTTGACTAATGACAAATGAGATATTCATTACCACTCATTACATAAGTTTTCATTATTTTTGTCGCTGTCTATTCCTCCACCTCCCCCGCTAACCTTATTACTCAATAGTACGAAGTTTGCTAGAAATCCAAACTAGTAAGTACTTTTCTCGAAAATCTAGTACTTTTTTTCGTGATTTTTTTAGTACATTTCGAGTTGCTGGGCTGGCAACGCTGGTGCAGACTGACAGCGACAGGCGGAAAGTGAACGTAACACATAAAAAATAATAATAAATAAGTAAATATGTAACACAATGAAATAATCCACAACACAGTCAAAGGGGAATTTAATATTAATTTCAGAAAAAATTATATTTATAAGCATGAATCCTGCTTCAATTCAGTGGCTTCAATAAATACAATTCTTAGATAATACACAATCTGTCATCTGTCCAAGATAAAAACATCTATCAATTCTATCATCATGGAATCAAGGTATATAAGTATATAAAGTTAATAATGGATTCTCCGAAACGAAACGTTGTACGGAAAATCTCAACGGTGTTTTGTAGAGCTTCAAAAGTGCCAATGAGGAATTGTCTGTTGTTTTCCTATATTTCTTTAAATAACATGAGAAAATAATTGAAACGATCTTCATGATAGACATCCTTATCTTGGACAAAGTGTATATAAAACTCACTAGGAATTCAAAACATTGTAGGGAGGAGTTAGGAGGAGTGTAGTAGGTACAATAATTTATTTCAAATATCACATAACATAGTGTTTGAGGTACAAAAAATTATACTCCTGAGAGTTGCATTGAAAATAAGTTATAAACTTTTATAACTGAAAGCATCCTTTATCCTTTACTTAAAACTAATATAAGTAGTACCTATATAGACAGTACCTATCAATTACCTCATTTAAAATCATGTTATATTGTTTCAGGAAGGTCCCAAATTTTTTTTCATCACCCAAAAAATAAATAATTCTGGGGCATCCTGTATATATACATATAGAACTAATAAACCTTATTTTTCTATTTTATATGAATCAATCGTAATTCAATGTTGAAAAAGTGAGGTAAATAATAGTATGAATAATATAGGTACTTATATATACTTATAAAAACCATAATAAATTCTTATTCATTCAAAATAACTGTTATTTACACTCAATACTTGAATAAAATAAGTAGGATTCTGAAGAAAAATAATACTTTATAATGAACAGCTGGTTCAATGAATTCTGTAGACATCTTCATGCCTACATAAAAGTAAAAGTAAAAATTATTTTCGGTACCTATATAAAGAGGAAGATAGGTACCTCTATACTTTTCTCTTTGAGTATCTATTTCACATATTTTTCAAGCGTTTCCTAAACCTAACATCAGTTCCCACATCACATGTAATAAATATAGCCACCAATATTTATTGCTATCAGCTATAATTTTCAAACATAACTCGATGAATTTCAAAAAAATCGGCAGTGAGAAAGAAAAAAATCGTTGATTTGTAAAATATCTACTTAAATACTATAGACAATAATTACAGGATTATCTACTACGTTCATCTATGATAAGTATTAATTGTAAATTGTCAAACATTTATCAAAATTTAGAGCCACTTTATAAATAGTAGGTGTAGAGGAAACCCTGCTAAGTCGATTATAGTTTGGCTAATTTTAAATGGTCGAATTCATGATCTATCGGGTGATCAAAAAAAAAAACAAATGTTGCTTGTGATGGTTTCATTTTGCTATTTTTGAACCAGTTTAGATTTTTTATTTTTTTTTCGATTCCCGACAGGTATTTTGGTGCTGGAAAATTTGTTCCAAAATAACTATTTTGAAGAAGAAAAGCTAGTCCAGAACTAACAGGACCGTCGTCCTCAAAGTAGTTATGAAAAATCTCTAACTATTTATTTAATAAATTAAAGCTACCACATTTAAATTGCTGATAATAGCTTGCAGCTACCCTACACAGAATGTGCTCCATTATTCCCATTCAAATTCCTCAGCTCAGATTGCTCCAATTTTTTGAAGTCTTTGGATTTGCTGAATAAAGATGAAAAAAACCTTGCCTAAAAATAAATATAATGATGTTTATGAATTCAGGTAGGGGGTGGGTATACTTGTAATCATGATGAAAATAGACTGGTGTAACCACTTGTCAATTGTTTCTTTCCAAAACGTGTAGACCGCGAAACACCGTAGCAAAGGCCGCACCGGATTGACTGTAGATGGCGTAGGGAACATCGTGCCACATATACTTCACAGATATAATGAAAATTTCACGTCTTTTTCATTAAATCAATCACTTTTTCTCAATGTTTTTGAATTACGAATTAATATACGTAAATGTAAACAACAAAACAAAACAACCATTGTGTAGCAAGATCACTTCGGGAACAGCGCCATCTAGCGTTAGTTTTGCGCGGCCTTACTACGGTGATAGAATTCGACATAATCAAGTAGGCCAGAGGTCTACAAAAATTTCTAGGGTTTTGTAAGAGGGAGCTATTTCACCATACATATATCCACCTTTTTTGTAATCAATCAGTGTTTGACGTCAGAAGACCATTTTAGCACAAATATGTACACAATAATCTTACAAAAATATAATTTTATCGAAAAAAAAACGCATTAAAAGCACCTTTCGTATTCGTAATATTAACTCAATTACTATTTATTATTCTCTAAAGAATTCAACTGCAAATACATCGAAAACTGCTTTATTTCTCTTCAGGAAATTTCGAAAGAACTTTACTTTTATCATAATAAATTTCATTATTTTTTCCATATAATATCAAACAAACGTCCAGTAAATTCGATAATCTTCAATAAAAAATAGTTTTTATGAGATCATCATATTTTTAGAATCACCTACGTGGGATGTTCAACATGAAAGCGTATCGAATTGTATTTTCAAAAAATATCATATTCATATCTCAAAGTCAGAATTCGCTCGAATATTTTTACAACTGTAGTTGATATCAGCGACAGTTATACCATTTTTCCTCAATAACGGTACAAACTAATAAACTTGAAAACTATAAGACCTCAACATTGACCTCGACTTCGACATTGGCGATTTTTTCATTGCATAATCTTTGTACATAACCTCAAAGCTTGGATCAGGTCGGGTTATGTTAGGTCATGGAACGATTGAATAGATATTTTTTGTGATTTTCTTTGAATTGATTTTGTGACTTAGTTCTCGTATAAAAACGATTTATCAGACATAAATAATCTCACTATGTGCCAACCAGCGCATATAGTTTGACAGGTCATCGGCGTGCACGATGACCGACCCTGGAGGTAAAACAATGAAACACAACCTCACTTTTCTGCACAACATTGAAACACAACCTCACATTTCCTATTTGTTTACCAAGAAATCAAAGGATTGGCATACGTATAGTGTTTTTTGGGCTATTCATTATTTCAAGCATGCCATCACATTGTGCTGTTGTACAATGCACAAAAAATGCAGCGAGAGACGAAGGAATATGATTCTTCAGGTAAATAGTGATCTAACATAGTTTTCATTATGAAATTTTGGTCATTTCTCATTAGAATTTCTTCTTCCACTTCTGCAATAGAATTTCTACAACACACACGATCCTAATATTTCGTCAACATGTCAGACCAGTCCTCCCGTTTGATTGCATGAATCCAATCTTCTTACCTTCTTTTAGTGTGGTATTCAATCACTTTGTATGTTCCTATTTACATGACAGTGTCACTATCTGTCGCAATAATTAATGTATTTGTCACTGTTAATTATGTTATATTTTGTTGAATAAAGCCAACATTTGGTCACATACATCAATTTATTCAACAAAAGGAAAAGACCTATGGAAAAGTACCTTCGACCAGATCGTTTTGAAGTCGATCCAATCTCCAGCTCAGCAGGTGAAGACTGGGCCCACTGGAAACGAACTTTCAAACATTTTTTGGATGCACGTAAGGAAACAGAGAAGTTTTCTGAAATAACTAAGCTGCAGGTTTTGATCAACCATATTTCACCAACTGTATATAGGATCATCAATGATTGCAAAGATTTTGAAACAGCTCTAGAGAGACTAGATGCTGTTTATATCAAACCTAAAAATAAAATATATGCAAGACATCAACTAGCCACTCGTCGCCAAGAAAATGGAGAAACAATCGATCAATATCTTCAAGTCCTACAACAGCAAGCGAAAGATTGCGATTTCAAAGGTGTTTCAGCAGAACAAAACAAGAATGATTATATCAGAGATGCCTTTATTGCTGGTCTTCGTTCTGCGCCAATAAGACAACGGCTATTGGAAAATACTTCGCTCGAGTTGGAAGAAGCATACAATCAAGCACGCTCCTTAGAAATGGCTCAACTCCATTCCGATAGATTTCTGTTTCCTAATTCTACAGTGAACGCTCTATCAATAGAAACTAATGACCAACCTCGTCACTCAGAGAATCTTGCTCCTCGTCACTCAGAGAATCTTGCAGCAATGGCTAGATTGGAATCTAAATCACGTTCCTGTTATTTTTGTGGAAATCAGCTACATCCCAGGTTTGAATGCCCCGCGGCTAATATGACTTGTAAAAACTGCCTGAAACGTGGCCATTTCGCAAAAGTCTGCAGAAGCAAGAAAGCTAATTCCAGAACGGTAGTGGCCGGCACCATGGAATTACTTGCTAGCTCAATAACAGCTTCAGCATCTTCGTGTCTACAAAAAGCAACCGTTGCAGTCACAGTTGATGGAATTGAAGCCCAATGTCTCATCGATACTGGAAGTACATCTAGTTTCATCAATTCAAATTTTGTGGATCATTGTAAAACTCAGAGAATGCCATCTAACGAAAGAATCAACATGGCTTCTTTAACGCTGATATCGAATGTTGAAGGGTGCTGTATAGTAACTATCGAAATGGAAAATCATATATATACGAACGTCAAGTTATTGATTATGAGAGACCTCTGTGCTGATATCTTATTGGGACATGATATCTTGAAAAATCATTCTGCAGTTGAGATACACTTTGGTGGCTCTAGAAAACCTCTAAAAATATGCAGTGTTATTCAAGCATTAGTTCCGCCTGCAAAACTCTTCACAAACTTATCTCGAGATTGTCGACCGATAGCTATTAAATCGCGTAGACATCCTCAAGAAGATCAAAAGTTTATTGATTCTGAAATTAAAAAGCTTCTCGCAGATGGTATAATCGAAGAAAGTATTTCACCATGGCGAGCTCAAGTACTCGTAACATCGACTACAAATCATAAGAAGAGGATGGTTATTAATTACGCCCAAACCATTAACAGATTTACAGAACTTGACGCGTACCCTCTTCCGAATATAGAAGAAATAATAAATAAAGTGTCAAAATATGAAGTATTTAGTACGATCGACCTGAAGAGTGCTTATCATCAAATACCTATTTCCAAAGAAGAAAAACCCTTTACTGCATTTGAAGCTTGTGGAAATCTGTATCAGTTCCTTAGAATTCCATTTGGAGTCACGAATGGCGTAGCAGGCTTCCAAAGAGTAATCGATTCTATCATTCGAAATGAAAATCTTCATGCAACGTTTGCTTACTTGGATGATGTGACGGTATGTGGGAAAGATCAGCTAGAACATGATCAGAATCTTCACAATTTTCTTGAAGTAGCTAAATTGTATAATCTAACTCTCAATGACACCAAATCGAAATTCAACCTCAAATCTATAAACCTTCTTGGATACACCATAGAAAATGGAACTATAAAACCAGATTGTGAGCGTCTCCGTCCTCTTCAAGAACTCCAGGAACCAAACAATCCATCTTCACTCAGGCGAGTGATAGGTATGTTTTCGCATTATGCCAGGTGGATACCGAAATATTCAGATCTGATCAGACCTCTCATTCATTGTAAAACATTTCCCATTTCAGAAGAAGTCATAAAATCTTTTGAGACTCTAAAATTAGCTATAGTGAAATCAGTTGTCACCGCTATTGATGATAAAGTTCCATTCACTGTAGAGACAGACGCCTCTGATTTTGCATTAGCTGCTACCCTTTCACAAGGCGGTAGACCAGTAGCTTTCTTCTCTAGAACATTATCTGAATCTGAAAGACGACACTCTGCAATTGAAAAGGAAGCATATGCTATTGTAGAATCACTTCGAAAGTGGAGACATTTTCTCATTGGAAGAGCATTTCGCCTAATAACTGATCAGAAATCGGTATCTTTCATGTTTCATACCAAACATACGGGGAAAATAAAGAATGATAAAATTGAACGATGGAGATTAGAACTTTCTAGTTATAAATTCGATATTATCTATCGACCAGGAAAGGATAATGCCGTTGCTGATACACTATCCAGGGCAGAAAATTTATCGAAAATATGTTCTAGTCTTAGTTCTGCAGAAAAATTATATAATTTACATCAGTCTCTATGCCACCCAGGAATAACTAGAATGGTTCACTTTGTAAGATCCAAAAACCTGCCTTACTCAATAGAGGATGTTAAAAGAATGACTACTTCATGTTCAATCTGTGCGGAAATCAAACCACGATTTTATAAGAATGAGAGTCGACTAGTCAAAGCTACATCTCCTTTTGAAAGACTAGCATTGGATTTCAAGGGACCATTGCCGACATCATCTCACAATAAATATCTACTCACGATAATCGATGAATATTCAAGATTTCCTTTTGCTTTTCCTACACGAGACGTATCTTCAGCATCTGTCATCAAAAATTTGTCGAATCTGTTTTCTATATTTGGAATGCCCAGTTTCATACATACAGACCAAGGTGCTTGTTTTATGTCACAAGAATTGAAAGATTTTCTTCATTCCAAAAATATCGCGACTAGCCGAACTACTGCATACAATCCGGAAGGTAATGGACAAATAGAGAGACAGAATGGAATTATCTGGAAAACAATTGAGTTGGCTGTTCGAACAAGAGGCTTGAAGATATCTCAGTGGGAAGACGTGTTGCAAGAGGCTTTACATTCGATCAGATCACTTCTATGTACTTCGACCAATACAACACCACATGAACGAATGTTTCATCATAATCGTAAATCATCTAATGGATATTCTGTACCTTCATGGTTGATGACTCCTGGACCTGTACTCATGAGAAGACAAGTTCGACGAAATAAGTACGAACCTCTCGTTGATGAAGTTGAGCTATTGGAAGGGAACCCAGACTATTCATACGTCAGGCTACCCGATGGACGAGAAACTACGGTCTCGAACAAACATCTTGCTCCTACAGGAAATCATGATGATATCGAGCATCTGGATGTTCCAATAGAGCGAGATTCAGTTGAACAAAATACTGTGGGAGAACAGTCCACATGTCCTGATAGAGAAGATTCACCTACTATACATGAACGATCTATATCAGAAAGAGGAGAATCATCTGCTTCGCATTCAAATGAACCCATGATCCGGCGTTCTGATAGAATAAGACAATCTCCTAGATATCTGGATAATTACTGTCGTCTTTAATACTAAGGGTGAATGTGGTATTCAATCACTTTGTATGTTCCTATTTACATGACAGTGTCACTATCTGTCGCAATAATTAATGTATTTGTCACTGTTAATTATGTTATATTTTGTTGAATAAAGCCAACATTTGGTCACATACATCAAGATACTTCACGAGTATTTCTATTAGCTGCTCCTATTGCAGAAGGAATTCCAATACGAAATGACAAAATTTAATGATGAAAACTATGTGGTCTATATAGCAGGTACCTTTAGATAACAATGAACCTACCTGAAAAATCGGATTCCTTCGTCTCTCGCTGCATTTTTTGTGCATTGTACAACAGCACAATGTGGGATTAAATAAATCAATGAGTGATTTACTGGTTCACGGATGGCTCAAGGTTTGGTGGCGGGTCGGGTGCAGGAGTATATGAAGGAGGAACAGGAAAAGGAATCTCAGTACCTCTTGGCATATATGCTTCAGTGTTCCAGGCCGAAGTGTTTGCAATTCTGACGTGTGTCCAAGAAAATTTCGGCAGTAGTGGACGTGGACCAGTCACCATATGCTCGGACAGTAAAGCTGCTATTATGGCATTGAGATTCAATAGGATCATAACTGAATTGGTGTCCGAGTGTAGAAGTGCCTTAGAAAATATGGCAAAAACTAGGAAAGTCAGCCTCATGTGGGTTCCAGGACACTCTGGTATCCCGGGGAACGAGGAGGCAGACAGACTAGCCAAGATCGGTTCAGGAACGACACCCATCATTGGACCAGAACCGATATTGGGAATACCCAATAGTACGGCTATGTCCTTCATGAAGGAAATGCTACAGAGGCAGTTCCTTGAAACATGGCGGGACACACCAGGAATGAGACAATCAAAGCTCCATATAAAGGAACCTTCAGAAAGGCTCACGAGAGAGATCCTGTCACTTAATAGAAGGGATCTCAAGATGGTAGTTGGGCTCTTAACTGGGCACAACCACCTCAACAGGCACCTAGAACTCATAGGGGTCAAAGATGATCCCATCTGCAGATGGTGCTTGGAGGATGATGAAACATCATCACACATACTCACTGAATGCCCCGCGCTGGTGCATCAGAGGAAAGCTGCCTTTGGGAGCATTGTACTGCACCCAAAGGATGTGAAAGTGACTCAGCTGAGGAAGCTGCTGAATTTCGTCAAAGAAATCGGCATGCCCAGCTGATTCACAGGACAAATAAGCGCACAATGGGCCCGACTGAAGAGGCCTGAGTGCAGGGGTCTACGCACCCGCCCACCTGTGCAGAGAAGAAGAAGAAGAAGGGTGATTTACTGCTTGAATTAATGAATAGCCGAAAAACACGATTAATATACCAAACAAAATAATTGTGAAAAACTATTCCAATCCTTTGTAAAAAGTGAGGTGGTGTTTCACTGTTTCACTTCCAGGGTCGCGGTCATCTAATGAAAGGTCTTTCACACAACCCATCGCTTAATTCGAATAATTCGATGAGAACGTGGGGTAAGGTGGCTAATTGAGGTTATGTCAGTGTGTCAACAGGTGTAGACTTACATTTATAGTGGCGACGGTGGCGCCAAGCGCCAATCCACACAAGACGTCACTCCAGTGATGTTTGTAATCGGAGACTCTGGTCATTGCCGTGAAAATTGAAGAAAGAATGGCCAGAAACTGGAGGGTGTGCTTCAGAAGCTTCGAGCCATCCCATGTCATCCTCTTATGTAGGTAAATCTGCGTGAAAACACTCGCTCGCTTATGTTTCTGAATTGTCTTTTTCCAAAATAACATCGAAAAAACTAGAGCGGGGCCCGACTAACCACAAGGCACGAGGGGCGCCCAGGGGTGAATTCAGAATTGGGGGCGAAAATTTTAGTTATTATACATATATTAATCATTAGGTAGTGGATTTTACAAAGTTTTGTTGTTGACTTTTCATAAACCGATAATGTAAAATGAGAGTAAAATGGTCTATTGAATAAATAAATATCATGAAGTAAGTAGCTGAATTCTGAGATCGATTAGAAAGAAATATCTTATACAGGTTTCGATCGATATCAGTCATGAGGGCCAAGCAATGTTTTATAGTGCTCAAGCAGGCCAAAAAGGGAGCTCAATAATATTTGACATCAGTTAACTATATATGTTTTATTTGTGCCAGTTTCCAGTTTCCAGAAATGATATCTCTTGCTTACGATTTTTACCTTCACTTATTTTACAAGATTTTTTGGTATTTTCTTTCATCGTTTCTATAAAATGAAGAATATAAGAATCATTTCCAAAATTTCGAAAACAAAATCCAACATATACATCCCCTTTATATCGGAGTTCTTCGAACATAATAGGAATTTCCTTTCGTGCTCTCTAAGTAATAAAAAAAACGTGAATTGAGGACAAATCAGATGATTTGCCCTAGAATGTCATTGTGTTCAAAAATTTCACTATTAGAGAGCCTTAAAGAAAAATTCAATCGATAGTCGGTGACACCTCGTTTTGAAAAATGTTTGAATGAGAAATATGGTTATTTCATTCATATTATGGTTATTTCATTCAAATAATGGGTAGGGGGCGAACAAATATATTGTGCCTCGGGCGCCAAGTGGTCTCAATCCGGCCCTGTACTAGAGGTTTTGAATTATTCTTCTTCAGTATTAGTCTTTTAAAGACTTTCAACAATGGATTCCATCATACTTATGTGAAAACTAATTCATCAATATGAAATACACATTAATGTTTCAATAGAGCCGGTAGTAACTTAAAAATAAATTATAAAGATAAGACAAATCATTTACTAAACACTTATCGACTATCGTATTTCCCATTGTCGTTCTAGATGACAACCTATAGTTAGGTAGTTAGTAGGCAGGATGGTATTTCCATAAATAATCTCGAGACATTATTCAATGACACTAATGCTTAAAAAATAAAAATCATTATCTTCAAACAGATAAGAAGTTATTCGTTTGATAATTTCAAGGTTTGGAATAATCTTTACAATACATATTAGTACCTATGAAATAGGTAAATTACCAAAAGTGTATAGATGGTTACTTACTGCGAAATAAGTCATACAATACATCGAGAATGACGAATGTCCTGAAGGAAATGACAGCCTGAAACAAGAACTAATTTTCAAATTTGCCGCTAAAAAGTATTTCTTCTAAAGTTGGTTGCTCGTATTGATGCGAGCAAGTTATTTTGAAACTGAAAAAAGGGAGGGGGTCAGTCGTGTGAGCAGTTGATGAGAGAAGACCCAGATCCGACCATATCATTGAAATAAATAATTTATTTTTCAACGATAGTTTTTAACAAGCTTTTATTTATTTTCACCTGTCCCGGTGTTTGTGTGTAATCGAATCATGCAACTTAAATATGACACTCTCCTAATCGTCCATCAGATTTTTGTTAGATAAAGAACAAAATAGCGGCTGGATATTCACAATCGCAGATTCGTGATTAAGTTTTCTCAATTCAGAATTTTTTTCCACGTCCTGTATGATGAATATCAATTTATCATACATCCAAAAACAAATGCCCAGATGACAGTGGTTATGTCAACAAATTATAATTCTCAGTTGTCAGTTCGTTATAGTGGTAGTTATATTATAGGGAGATGAAAATTGTGTATATCACGAAGAATAGCTGAAAGAATTACTGGACTTACTGATCTCGATATACCGGGTGGCTAGGGAAGTATTGCCTACGGAATATCTCAGTTATTGTATGAAGTGGGTTTGTGAAATTTGGAGCGTCGATATAATGGCATAAGAGCTAGAGTTTGAGCATATTGACATGTCGAAGTTAATTTCCGGTCTGACCGGAAGTAACATCAACTTTCTTATTTTAAATGGAAACCCTATTTATTTTCTTTTCGCTTTATTCAGCATTCAATTCCCTCTCTAATGACACATCACAAGTTGGTATCTGACCAGAAACTAGATCAGAAAAAAATTATTATTGAAATTCACCGAGTAGGCCGTGGAAGCAAAATGAAAGCCAAAAAATGACTTTCTATTATATCATTAGAAAGGAATAGTTGTGCTGAATAGTACAGGCAAGAAAAAGTTGTATATTCCTATTTAAGTTATGGACCTACAGAGTATTGTTTTTTTCCCAATTTTTTCAATATTTCTTTTGGCGGCTTTTTATAACGCCGACGAATGAAAATAAAATATCACAGTAGTAGCAACTGTTATCAAGTGACGTATAGTTTCCATAGACAACTTTTCAATGTTTGTCTTTCATTTTGCTTCCACGGCCTACTCGGTGAATTTCAATAATAATTTTTTTCTGATCTAGTTTCTGGTTAGATACCAACTTGAGATATGTCATTAGAAAGGGAATTGAATAAAACAAAAAGAAAAAAAAATAGGGTTTCCATTTAAAATAAGAAAGTTGATGTTACTTCCGGTCAGACCGGAAGTTAACTTCGACATGTCAATATGCTCAAATTCTAGCTCTTATGTCATTATATCGACGTTCCAAATTTCACAAACCAACTTCATACAATAACTGAGATATTCCGTAGGCAATACTTCCGTAGCCACCCGGTATGTATAAATCGACCTGTTTTTTCCGAAAATTGTTATCTTCGCAGATCAGAAGATATGCAGGGTGGTAAGTTTTGTAATGAAAGCCCTGTATGAGAGACGTGGCACGCAGTGTGTTGAAAGTGTTTCCCATAATGATGCCGACGACTTTATGAAAGACTATACAGGGTCATTCCTTCGAAACTCACCTCATTTCCTTCATGATCCTCTTGTCGTGCTTGTACAGCTCACTAGTACAAGTGAAATTCTCGTGATACTTGTAGTCCTGTCCCGAGCCGAGCAGACACACATCGGGCTGGCAAACTGTGAAGAAATGCGGTCGCAGCCGCCCGATGGTGTACTTCATCACGTCGGTGGTGAGTTGGGAGCAGGCTGCGCCGAAGGCGAACACTCCTATTGCGCAGTAGATGTTGTAGACCCAATTGGGTATGCGCACGCCGAGTAAGACGATCTCTCGCTTCTCGTTCGGTCTATTCAGGTATTCCGTGAGGATCATCTGAGCAAAGGAGAAATGCTGGTGGTTAGGCGGTGCCGGACTCAATTCAATCACGATTTGCCATTGGGGAAAGAAACACTTGCAATCAGCATTTGATCGTAAGGGTGAAGAATCGGCCAGTGAAAAATGTATAGTCAAATCGATCGACCTGCAACTTTTTTATTTCTTCACCGATGTTGGTGATTTATGCTCGTCTGAATTTTAATTCCTAGGAACTAGAGTTGAACTTTAGCTCCTAGGAACTAAATGTGTTGCCTAGCAACATGTCTATTTTTGTGTCAGTAATAGAAATGTCATTTCAAGAGCTAATTTTGGTATTAAAATGGACGACTTTTGTGTCGCTTGCAGAAAATAGTAGATTGTTTTATTTAGCGAAGCCGAGCGAAAGCAAAATTTGCGAGTCGAACAAAGTCACTTTTGATCCGAATGAAACATGCTATTTTTTCTGCAACCGAAAGAATTAACTCGAATAAACATTTGAAGTAACCACCAATGCCGTGCCATATGTATGCAATGCAACAAATATTGACAAATAATCCGTGTGGTGAGAATATTCTACCTGCATCAACAGCAGGTTAGGTTTTCAAGGATGTTCGAATTGTAGTTTCAATATAAATACAACCACAGAGTGACATATTTGTGTATGGGCCAGGTGTTCTAATGACAAATACCGCGCCAGTGCCAGCTATAGGAACAAGACGTGGAAAATGTTAGGTTAGTGAGCATATCAACAATGATAATAGTGATTATTTATTCCTCTCCATACTACACTGTGAATACTGTGATTGACTTGATAATCAAATGAACCTAAACAATATCGTTGTTCGAGAAAAAAAAAACTATTGCTTACCGTGATTATTCAAAAACAAGTTATCCATCCCGAGAATAACGAATGAAATACAGATCAAGCAAGTATTTGAATCTAGAAGGCTTCCCTGATCGAAACAAAAATACTTATCTGAGATGTTTATAATTCCAATACTAAACTATAATGAGGTGTATTTATATCTCCAGCATGGGTATGAAATGCCAAATCTGCTGAAATCGGAAACAAATCAGGTATGCGTCTCAACCCAAATAACCAACCGTCACAATGTTGTTTATTCTTGATTACGTCCAGTACATCCTTTTTAGTTCCTAGGAGCTAAAGTTCAACTTTAGCTCCTAGGAACTAAAATTCAACTTTAGCTCCTAGGAACTAAATGTGTTGCCTAGCAACATACCTATTTTTGTGTCAGTAATAGAAACGTCAATTTAAGAGCTAATTTTGGTATCAAAATGGACGACTTTTGTGTCGGTTGCAGAAAAATATAGTTTATTCGTAAATTTCTTGAAAATTATCTACCGAGTTTTGTTGAAATTTAGCTGTATTATTTGTAGAAGTATGGGACTATATTTCATAAAAATATCAACACATCTGGAATAGCAGTGCCGCATTTGTCTCATATTAAAGCGATTATTTTGGCGACTGTGTGATGAAGTATGTCGTTTCGGTTTCGAAAACAAAACACTGACAATGAATGTCGTTATCCTTTTTTCGAAATTTCTCAAACACATGGCACTATTTATGTAGGTATGCATTACTAATGGATTCCGAAAATAAGATACGGGCCATTTAATCTTTCAGACCTATCTCAACATATAATTTAGTGAATATGATGATGCTAAGTGTATTTATACAGACTTAACAGAGCATCGGATGAACGCCAACATCAACAAATCGACTTCAGCAGAAAAATTTCACTGGTTTAATATTGGCTATTCCGAAAAATTAATATTGATATCATCTATTTTTCTGAAACAGACTTATTATGCATTAGTTTTGCAAGATTTCTATATGAACATTAAATATTTTTGTGTTCAGTTGAAATATAGTCATTTATGTAACAAGTGTGTAAAGTGGTACTTTTTCTTACAAGTAGGAAATGTTGACCAACGACGACGAAGGCGGAGAGCGATAATTCCTCTGTAACATACAATATTTCTCCTATAACTGTCACAAAAACGAGGACAACGCGTCATTCAATTTATGATGTAAATGATTAAATGATATTTCGCAAATATTATCATCAAGTACATTTACTCATTTCATGTCACTGGTTTCTATGGACGAAATATCCAGAGCCACCTTCGGCTAATTTGTATAAATGTAAAAACTTCACAAACGATAAGAATTCCACAAAATTCTTTATCATACGACATGTTTCGCTAACACAGTAGCTTCATCAGGTGACATACAATGAAATAAACTAACCTTGGCTTGCCTAACTTTTATATACCCTACTTTCCCAACCTGAAAAACCTTCATTTTCGGAAAATAGGCACAATATCTACAAAATACGGTGTTCCGGATTAACTTGAAAGGGTTGATAGAAAATACATATTTATTACCTACTAAGATCTACTACAGGAGTATGCAAACTTAACTGTGGATCTTGTCCTAAGGTGTATATCGGTCAGACAAGTCGTACGTTTAATCAGGGCATTTATGAACATAAGATGAATTATTTGAAAAAGAAAACAAATTCAACATACGCCAACCCTATATCAGAAGAAATAAATAGTTTTGATTATAATTTCGAAATTCTACACGTAGAAAATGAAGAAATAAAACTCAATCATTTTGAATCATTAGAAATCACAAACTCAAAAATTCTATCAAAAGTGTACCTTCTTTCACACTTTTCCGTAAAATAATGAAACAGTATATTGATATTGAAAAATTGTACACTTCAGGCACACAAAGTATATTCAGAAAGTGCAGTTTTTTACAGTTGTAGGAAAAAATATATTTTTCCAACCATTCACATTTGAAGTACAGAGAAATTCGTTACAATTTTAGAATCAAGATTCGAATGAATCGGGCATATACAAAACCCCTGTTTTGTTTGACGTTTATTTATAAGGAAAATAAACAAGAAGCCAACACCTTATGTTGTATATAATAATCTCCCTAAGGTAAACACAACAACACTTGGTACTCATGTTTCATGCTATTGTTTGAACGCTGTCAAAAATAGGTAGCTTAATATCCACATATTTATCATACACACTTTAGACATTTATAGTTCAGTTTAGTTGAAAATATGCATGGTTGTACCTACAACTTATAATAAAGTTTCTAAGCTGCTCAGTACTTCAATTGACTCATGCCACAACCAATTTCATTCTTCTTTTACTTTAGAATGTTCGTTACGATCATAGACATATAAAATGTCTATGGTTGCAATGGTATAATCAAGTCTGTTGGCATGACGGTTTGTCAGAGCACCTCAGATTGAGATTTTTCTTTACTTCGAAAAGTACTATAGGGAATCCCTATAATAGGGAAGATAGGGAGAGATATTTTTTTTCACTTTTGGAGGTTGAGAGTCATTGGGAATACTTTCTTTGGCGAAGAATCCAATAGAATCGAGTTTTGGTACAGAGTTGTTCGACATACCTACATATGCTACAGGATGGTACATAATAACGTGCAATTGTTGGAATCATAAATATTCCCAATATTCCCAGTCAGTTTTTCAAAATGTCTGTCTTTGTGATAACACTACCTATTTGTTATTTTTTGATAATATATAAATTCAGTGACTCCTTCATTTAACGAAGATAGCCTTGTATTGAATCAGATGTCAATAGTATGGCAATCGGAAGTAAAAATAATTCAAGTTCATTCAAACATTTTCGATTTCACTTTTCAAATGTTGAGCAGTTTAGATGAAGTCAGTCCTCATTTTGGTTTGATTACCTATCTAGTAAACTAAACAATACGCAGTTTTGATTTAGACTCCCTCTGAGTCAACTATAGGGTGAATGCGCTTAGTTTCGTGCCTACCCGAATGTTTTCTTAGTTCAAAATGCCTTTGAAGGTCGTTTTATATGACCCATAAACTCAAAAGACTGAAAGTAAGGTAGGTATTATAGGCCTGATATTTTATGATGATAATATACCTGCAACAATATTTCGATCTTTGAACAAACCAAAGGAATTACTAGGTGACTTTTCATGTGTAGTTTCAATTCGTAAATTTTTTTTCATGTTCGTTGCACCTCCCTAATAAATCGCCCTGTCGATAGTGTCTTGAAAGAGTTAGAGATAATACCTATCATAAATTCATACTATGACGATGATATTATAATCATCGATTATCGCGATCAAGAAGGTCACACTATGTTAATTCTCGAACTTGACAATAATACTCGACTCGCATATTATGTGGGATGGATAGGAAGTTATTGAAACTAGAAATAGATTTCTAGAAAAAATAAAAAACTACAACATAAAAGATGAAGGAATTCGCCATATAGGTTTATATTTATTATTAGTACGAACCACATAGCACCTCCACCACAAATTAGTGGTTTGAGGTTACGATAAATTTCCTTTTGATTCCTGAATAATCATAGTTCAATAATCATTTATTATTCAAGTCTAAGGAGAACTAAAAAAATATTGATGGAATGATGTATAAGATAACCTTCCATGAGAGTGAAATTTGATATAAAGAAATGCAACATTTCAAGGGTCAATGAAAGCGTGAGACGGTGATTTCGCTAACACATCAGTAAGTAATCTTTGATAATGAGTATTTTGTCTGTCCCCAGTATCAACCATCAGATCGGACAATAAATAATCTGCATCAATGCATCAACTACTCTTTTATTAATTTATCGGTCTGCTGATGATTGCACTAGTTAAAATGTAACAGACATTACAGAACAATAAAACATTTCTATACTTGAATCGTTGTATAGTGTCGAGTTGATGACCCATAACATATGAAAATAATATAACAAACAAAAAATTCGATCAGTCCAACCTCTATTCATTAATCTTTTAAGTTAGGTAAGTATTCACTCTAGCTCCTAACTTCCTTTCAGAATCTGTGACTTCCATATTTGACATTTGAAATAGAATTATTGGCCTTATTGAAATCAAACTAATAACATCTAGTGACTCTAATTGAATGTAGCTTCTGCTAGAGTTCCTAAATTTACTTGAC